CGCAGACCCAGGACAGAGATATCAATCTGCCTAGGAACCTATGCGACTGTATTTCAAGCGAGAATTTACGCTATTGAATTGTGTGTGTGTGTCAGAAAAATAATCTCGGGCAGTCAAGTGGCATTGGAATCTCTTGGCTCCTACCGAGCAACGTCTAAATTGGTAGCAAATTGCCAAAAACGACTCTCCCCGATAGGAAGACACAACAGATTGTCTCTGGTCTGGATTTCTGGCCATACTGGCCTGGAAGGCAACGAGTTTGCCGACTCCTTTGCAAAGGGCGGTACTGCAAGCAGCTTCATTGGACCAGAACCTGTCATTGGCATCGCTTCAGGTTTGCCAAACAAACATTGAACACTGGGATGGCAAGAAGATTTATAGACTTCTGGCAGAATCTTTCAGGATTGGCTCACTCCAATGCGTTTATTCGCCCTTCGAAGCTTTATAACACTTAGCAACTAACGCTTAATTTATTTCCACTATTTGAATTCCTTGTTTAACCGCTCGATTCACTTTCTGAACTCCCTCTTGGGTCGGGAAGCCGAGCTCATATAAGGTAACGGTTCTTTCTAGAAATTTGTAGTCGGTTCTCTACTCCACTAGAGTTTCACCGGCAGTTGCCGACTGCATTCTATCGCGGTGACATATCGGCCGACATATCGGTCAGGGGCGACTTCAGATTCGTTACAGTATTATATCAGACTACTTCGAAGGAGACAAAATAGAAATTGAGGCATAAATAAATATTTTTTGAGAAAAATTGAAATTCACCTTATTTTTTCAACACACCTCGTATTTGATGATGAATTGCTCGAAACCAGTCGTTAGAAAAGGACAAGAAAAGCTGAATAGCCCGATATTACAGCAAGTTATTCATTTACGCGTGTTGCCAAGCCAAATGCCTAAATAATTTTTAAAATCATACACTTGCCATAGTCCTAGTCCCAAAAAACTAGAAACGGGTATTTGAATATTCACGTGAATTTTTTTATTGAATAGTCGAAACGGCTCATTTGAGTGAATCACAGATTTCATAACTCGTGTATTCTGCTAGTGTGACTGCAAATAGCCATAATGTTCCTTAGGTGGCTCGGAAAGTTAATAACATAACCTACCCAGACCAATAATGATAATCAATAGTTGCTTATTACCGAAATTCAGTAGTTATGTGCTTCTACTATGCTTGTCCTGTGAAAATGCAAAATTACGTCACCGAAAATAGGTTTGCATTGGTTCGAGTTGTTTGCTGAATGCTTCGCGTTACGAAACTGTAATTGAATGTTTACATAGATGAGCAACTATTTTTAACTTTGAATCGGTCGTTTCAATAAACAAAAGCTTCGGGGCAAGTGATTGGCGTAGGTAAAGGTCACGATTTCGCTAGTTCAATTTGCCAATTTACCTCAACAAGCGCGTGTACGATCTTCGAGCTAAAAATAATACAGAAAAATACTCCTCGTGTCGCGGAATGCATATCCACCTGCAACGAACACTTGAAAGTAATAGTGAATTCTCGCACCGAAATATTTGGGTTCTGGTTGTGTTCGAGATACCTGATTTTTCGATTTGGACGAGATACACGTGTTCGAGTAGACTTTTTGCGCTGATGAGGGATGACGTATCCGAAACATGTTTTAAAGTAGTCGCCCCCCGTCTCGATCGGAATTTTCAAGATTCGGTGTATTCCAAAAATCATAGAAATAACAGAAAATTAGGTAATTCATAAACTTGTATGGTAAAATTATCAATTTGAATCAAAACAATGTAATTCTGTTTCTGTTTCGGTAATATTTGATTATAATTGGGTGGAAACATATCTACAACAAAAATATATGATATCGTGTTTTGATGGGCAGAAAAAGAAATGATAGTAATAATAACATCCGAAACGCACTATAATTGCAATGAAAATTGAAATGAAGTAATTTATATACACAAAAAAATTATTGGCCCAATAAATGTTCTCGAAATGGAGTCCTTCCATTTCGAGACAAATAATGGGCCAATGTCTGCAAGATCACCAGATCTTACTATTTTGGACTATAGGAAAAATTGAAAAATTTGATTCACGCTGGCAGAGAGATAGAAAATGTGGAAGACTCGAGATTGAGGATTTTGAATGATTTCGCAACAATGCAGCAAATAAGTGTATTAATCTCTCGAAATGGATGAACTCCAATTCGAATATTTATTGCGCCATTAATTTTTTTGTGTGTATAAATTACTTCATTTCAATTTTCATTACAATTATAGTGCTCGTTTCGGATGTTATTATTGCTATCATTCCTTTTTATGCCTATTAAAAACATTTAATATATTTTTGATGTGGATATGTTTCAGATAATCATAAAAGGTTTTCTTATTCGAAGTTCATTGTAGAAAACGATCAGAGCAATGGAAAAAATATGAATAGGTACCTAAAAATAAAAAAAAACCTCTCGAAAAACTCTACGGTACATAGGGAGACGTGAAAATTGCTATTGTGTTTTTATTCAACTCAGTCAACCAATTTTCAGGGCCGTAATTTGAAAGGGAATAATTCACACAATTATAATCAAATATTACCGAAACATCCCGAAATATAAAATTGAATTTGATTTCTCAGTATGAAGTGAACGTCGACGAAACAAAAAATACAACAAAAATACAGGTCCGTATTTGAAACTTCAAAGATGGGGTGGCCCAAGTCAGATGACACCCTGTATAAACGATTCATGGACATATTCTGATCGCCCACATCAAGTGCCAATAGCAAAATGTGGACAGATTTTCAATATTTCTGCGAATAAAGAAGATATAGGTAAAAAAATAATTTGGGATTTTTTCGTTTTTCCTGTATATCTCCAGAACCAAAAGAGCTATATTCGATTTTTTACATCATTGAATAGGTCTCTGAAATATGCAACTTTGCCACAATTTAACCGACACTCTATCTCTTATCGTTTACGAGATCCCCATGTACAGAAACAGATTTTGAATAGCCCTGTATATAAATTGAAATAGAAAATAAGAAATTGGTTAACACCAAGAGTGGTTCCCTTCAATTTGGAAAAAGGCTCGGACAGTAAGTACCATTGTCAAAAACTACTAATCGTCAAGAACATCTGAATAATAAGCTACCACCTCGATATGTCAGAAGTGTAGGAAAAGTAGTTTATTATCAGCTGACGAATCACCTGGATGAAATATCAATTTCACCTCTACACATCTGAATTTAAAAAAGGCAGTTGCACTACCGCCTGGCAGCATTTGGTCGATTCTATTCAAAGGTATTCTTACAGCTCTGATACTGTGATATACTAATGTCAATCTTGCATCACATAGAAATGTCTGAAGATGGTGTCGAATTCTCTAATAATTAACTGGGGAGAAGTATCAGAAAGTGAGTAGGAGTTAACCAGTCGGACTTTATCGAAAAGAATGGGTAGTGCCACAAGGTTCTATTCTAAGTCCATTACTATTTTCTATTTATAGCCAGCTTGTTCAGTAACACATTGTCCTCTCGTCAATATACAGTCGACACCCAGATCTGCAACTCTCTCAAGCCTGATGTTGTTGATAAGGATTGTGAACAAGTTAATGAAGACTTAAATCTTGCTAAAACTGCAACTGAACATTATCTAGTTGAGAACTCAAGTAAGTAGAATATTCATTTTTTGTTAAGATTTCCAGGCAGCTGATTGAAAACCAAATGGAAATAAAAATATCTGACAAAGATTGTCCATTGTACCTCAAGTTAACAAACAGTCTGGGGGGTACGAGTACAAAAATATATTATGCGACAGTCCAATTTTGATATGTAAATTATGTAAGTAAAATACATTTGTTTATAAACTCATAAGGAGTTATTGAGAAACCAATTAACCTTTATTCATCGAATCGTAGACAAAACATACGGAGTGTTATATTTTTCAGTTTACATAGACTCTGAAATCGCGAAAAAATATTCTTTACAACAATTACACTTCGTTTGGATTTCAAACCACAGCCACAATTTTGAACTTACTTGAGCCTGATTGACATTATCCAACGGAAATTCACACACTTCACAAGAACTGATTAACATACAGTGTAACCGCCGAACACAGCTGAGCGCGAATGTTCAAAATCAGATACCTACATACGCCATAAAGATGATTTAGATGTAGATATCAGTTCATACATTGAACCTTTATCAATACATATGTCATGATAAAGAAGTGGACTTTTGACAGGATTCATGCACCTACACTTATCGATATCAATAGAATTCACAACTTAACCGCGAACGTGATTTCTAGTGAAAGATAATTACTAAGATATGTTTATTATGTTGCGTTTTTGTGTTTAAAAACAATGAAAGTGTTTAAAAAGCTCCTTGCCACTGAACTGGCATTCAAAACAACAAACTCAATAGACTCAGTCTCTTACTCAGTCAAAATTTTCGGTAATGTAGTATTTTTCAAGTTTCAAGAATTGCTAGGAAATGTTTTTGTTTTGATGATTTGTTTTAGAAAAATGATAGAAAAGAATTAATAAATAACGTCTTTAAAAGTAGTTTGGAAACAACAGAACATCAACCTCAAATTGGGCTATGTGTAATTTTCCGCATATAGAAGTAGGAAAATGGAATATAAAACATGTTTTCACAAAATAATCAATAAAGAAAAAAGAAATAAAACTATATCTGCTCGGTAGACATTGCGTAAACATTGGTCATTAGTTACAAATATGGAAAAAATAATATTCGAGAAAAACAGCCATCTATTGAGCATGCTTTCTGAAAAAAAATCCCTTGCTGAAATGAGGTTAGGAGAAAATGTATGATTTTTGCAAGGAATGTAGATTTTTTGAGAAATATAGTTTTGATGTTGAAGCTTGTCATTCGAGAACAGAACAGAGTATTATTGAAAGTTGTGTAGATTTTCATAGAGATTGAGGTAATTATTTTCAGTGAAACAATAATATATAAGCAAGAGGATATTGGATGCACGTGCAACGACGTCCATGCATTTACTTACTTATTCTCAATGAGAACCATCTTTGTGAAAACTCTGAAAAATGACACATTTGTTATGACTTGCTCCAAAATTCAATACAGTAAGTTCAGTTAAAACATTTTCCCCAAATATGTTTCGAAAATGAATGTTCTCAATGTTTTAAAATACGAAATAAAGAAAAAAAAACTTCTTGTGGTTTTGAAAAATGTACAGTACATAATCAACCTTATAAACCATATGATTAATACATTTTTTTGGAGAATGTTTTCTACTAAATTAAAAAACATCCTTAGTAAACCAAATTTTAAATAAAGATGTTGCAGATATTAATGTCAGAAAACAAAAACATCAAAGAAAATTTTGTAATTCAATGGTGATCTTCAAATCATAATCAGTTGAACGTTTATATATAATATAGTCTTGCTGGATCACTTCGCGTACCGCACTGTAGCTTCCACTTGACTGTGTCGATATCCGACAGCCATCGTCAGTTCAATCAGGTTGAAGCCTAGCTCCCTCACCCTTGTAGCTGATTTTTGTCAGGAGGACAAATGGGTTTATGACTAAAAGGTGGTGGCGGTATGAAAGTCCGCAGACATCAGTACCGCCCTTCACGGTGTACCCCTACCTGGCTGGGGTGGGACGGTTGAAGAATTTGTTCATCATTGACGGGGTACATGAGGGTCTCATTCGACAGAATGTCGGGGCCCTCTATATCGGAAGGGTTCGTCTACAGTATAATCTATAGCTTCCCTACCTAACGGGTTTTCGTGAGTTTCAGTACAATCAAAAACTCGCCGATTCCTCGACTGAATGAAACTATGTCCATATCCTCGTGCCTATCCTTTAAATATTGTAATCGAATGCCCTAGAAATTTCGCCGAAGTTCCGTAGAAATCGGTAGCATTATTCTCGCTGCTTCTAGAGTGGCGGGGAATCATCGTACATTCGCGCGCTCTTAGCTACGTCGCATTTGGTTTATGGTTACCAGTGGCGGCCGGCGTTATTTTCTTTCGAGCATAATTTACAACAGTATATAAAACAGGATTTTCAGATTTCCATCGAACTACGCTACGCAAATCTATAAAAGTTTTGAACAGAAACCAGGCTAGTAGGCCAGAGTCGAAAAGAACTTGTAGTACCAAACGTTTCGTCTACTACTTAGATTGCTTCAAAAAGTTTTGTCCATTTTAATGTCATGTGTTTTCGTAGCTCAATTCCTCAATAAATGGTTATTCTACTGAGTCGTGGTATAAACACTGATGCTGCTCATTTTTTCCGAATTTCAATTTTTCGTATCTTTTCAGTTTTTTGGTCAATTTTTCTGTTGTATCACTTTTAATTAGGCCATATGCCTACTTAACGCACTGTTCGACGTTGGGTTGCTAAACTTCGTTCCGGAGATTTTAGCTTCGAAGTGGTCGACCTACAGTAATCCTAGCAAGGATTTGAGAACCCTGATAGAGACTGACTCATCACAAACAGTGCATAGGTTGGTGATGGTTTAAAACATTTTGGAAAGGTCAAATAGCTCGAAAACTGGGTGCCCCACAATTTGAACGATCAAAAGAAATTGTCTCGTTCCGACCTCTGTCGTTCTTTGCTTTTGTGCCAACCAAAACAATCTTTTTTTGGATCGAATCGTCACGTGTGGTGAGAAGTGGATCCTCTACGACAACACGAGACGTTCAGGACAGGGGTTGGACACCGATGACCTACCCAGGCACTTTCCAAAGACAAAAACCCACCAAAAAAGACCATGGTTACTGTAAGCGGCTGGTGTGATTCACTATAACTTTCTGCAACCAGGCCAAACCATCACAGCAGTCTTGTGAGGAAATCGACGAAATATACCAAAAATTGCGTCAGCAGCAGCCAGTACTGGTCAACAGAAGAGGTCCGATCCTGCTTCACGACAACTCCCGTCCGCACGTTTCATAAATCACCGACCGAAAGTTAACTGAATTGAGCGTTTAAGTTCTGCGTCACCCACCATACTTCCCAGACCTCTCGCCAATCGACTACCATCTTTTCAAGCACTTTGATAACTTTCTCATCGGTAGAACCTTCGCCAATCATGACCAGGCAAAAACGGCCTTTGTCGATCTCATCGAATCCTGAGCACACAATTTTTATGCTGGTGGAATTAATCGACTTGTGTTACGTTGGCAAAAGTGCACTGATTCAAATGGCCCTTATTTTGACTTAATTGAATACGTATTCACTGAGATATTAGAGTTCGAAGTAGACTCATTGAAACAGCCTGACACCTCGAGAGTCTCAGTAACGGCTGACTGATGGTCAATCGTCAATGTTTTTTTCAATTCAACCAGTATTTCAGCAAATAATCGGATACTATTAATGAATTGACCCCCAGGTTTCCCTGATCTATGCCTTAATTTGTTACCATAGGATTCAAGGCACTTACATTCGGATATTGATGCACCAAATCGAAATTTTTATCTCGAGATGAGATATACAGATACATCTATCTCACGGCATTACTATGTGATAACCACTGAAAAAGGTATTGCAAGGTCAAGTGGTACTAGAGAAGATTGATTTTTCAATAGTATCTTATACAGCTTGATTTTCATTCTTTGAATTCAATTTATTAAACAAACATACAGACGTTCAAAAGTAACAATGTTTTTAATATTACACAGGCCTTTTTCAGCTGATTCCACTATAGCTATCTCGAAAACGGTACAACCGACAAGGTCGGTTGAATTGGGCAAAAGTTTTCAATTTTGGAGAACTAAAATAATCTCTTTGCACATCGAGAATATCAGTGGTTGTTTTTGAAATATTCGCTAAAAACTAGAATGGCTGAATTTTGTTTTTTTGACTTTACCGCCTCCATTTCGAATGATATATGGAATGATATGAGGAACTTTCAATACTGTTTCATATTTGTTATTAAATGATATAAACCAAACTTGCAATAGTCTAAAATATTTTAGGCGTGTAGGTCATATTGACTTATGCATACTGTGGAATTTTCAGGTTGATCCGTTGAATGGTTTGCCAGAAACGGCTAATTAACGCTCATCATGAAAAGCCCTGTATACTCGGAATTTCAGAACTTTCTCAACGGCATATTGTTAGTCAGGTAAATGCGCAACTTTGCTCCATCTTCGTACCTCTCATAGTTTCCGAGTTCCCAATAGTGAGGATCGAATTTGAAACACCCTGTAATGTAATATGAAACAGTACTGAAAGATTCTCTGTCTTTTTTCTATAATTTATATCATTCGAAATGAAGGCGGTAGAGCCAAAAAAAAAGGAATTCGACAGTTCTAGTTTCTGGCGAATATTTCAAAAACAACCACTGAAATTTTCGATCTGAAAGTAGATTATTCTAGTGCCTCAAAATAGGAAACTTTTGTCCAATTTAACCAACCTCGTAGGTATTAGTGGGATCACCTTAAAAAACAGCCTGTATATTTCTTCGATTATATCCTTGGAAATTCAAAACTATCGGACACATCTATAATTCTGTGACTCAGAAAAAAAGTGACCGTCAATTCAGCAGTATAAAACACGTAACAAAGACAGATATGAAAATAATAAGAATTAGATTACATATACCGATGAAACCCTGATCTTTGGACTTTCACAGCGAATGATCAATATCACCGGTTTAAAGTATAATAGACTTCAAGTGGGTTCAAAACTCACGTAAAATTTTTCGTTAGCGACAGAAACAATCGAATCACAAAATTCACGTTTGTCTGGTCACAGAACAAACAGAAGTAAAGTTACAGAATTTAACAAAAACATCATGATGAGTCGACTGGGATCATATTCGCTTATTGTTTCGAGCGATATAAATAATCGAGTAACGGCCAATTTCAATAAATAAATAATGTTTTTCTTTAAAAAAACAATGTAACTTTCGCTCCGCTTGAAGAAAATTTGTACAGGGCATCCATAAAGCAACGCATAAATTATTTGTTAGCTGAATAAACAATATTATTAAATTTTATTTTGATTTACTGTTTTTTTGTTAGTAAATGATGGCGTTCAATTTTCGATGAAAAAGTAGACTGCAAATGGCTGTTGTTAACATGAAAATTCTCAGTCAATAATTGAAATACATTACATGAAAATATGTGTTGCCTTTGACAATTACCAATATGGATTCCAAGAAAATAGCACCCTGAGTGAAACTATAGATTTCATTAACCACATAGCTTCTTCTCTATTTTACTTGCAAAAATTGAAGGAATGAGAATAAGAGGAAATGATCTCTCTTTACTAAAAACATACCTTCTAGATCGCAAACAATTCACAATGGTTGATGGCATTTCAAGCCAAACTGAAACTAACAAAGCAGGTGTGCCCCAAGGCTCAGTCCTTGGACCCCTATTCTATACATTACATGTTCTGTCATTGAGAACTGCTAACATCATAGGTAGATACTATAAATTCGCAGATGATACTGTTCTTGTATATGAAGGTAAAGACTTGAAACAACTCGAAACACTAGTAAATACCGACCTTGAAAAGTGTCACAGATGGCTAGCAAAAAATAAACTTCAGATGAATGTAAAGAACACTACTTTTATAATCTTCTTTCAGAAAAACATGAAACAACAGGACATCATAGTGGAGATAGAAGGCAAAGAAATAACGAGAGTCCATGATACCAAATATCTGGGACTAATTATAGTCGATGTAAACCTATGCTGGAATAGCCATATCACCCATGTAGAAAAAAAAAGTAATTCCAATGGTAAGTGTCCTATATCTTTGTAGAGCCTACTTACCCATCTTCACTCCATCAACTATACAATGCATATTTCTTATCAATGTTTAGCTATTTAATTCTTATATGAGGTACATGTGGACAGACATTATTCAAAAAAGTAAAAATACTTCAAAACAAAGTCGTGAAAATGTTATTCAGGCTTGACTACAGAACCTCAGCTGATACTTTATACAGTGTAACCAAGAAACTGCCTATTCTGGATGTTCTAGAAATCGAGCAAGATAAATTTGCATACAAGGTTATACATGAACAAGTCAAATGTAATACTAACTTAACTTTCGTTAATCAGCTCCACGAATACAATACTCGTATACCCATTATAATGTCTTTTTAGAACCTTTACGTACTAATATTGGCTTAAATAATCCCATTATACGCTACATGAAATCTTATAGTTCTCTTCCCAGGGTAATAAGAGGTGGACCTAATTTCAGTATCTTTAAGAATAAAATGAAGAGTTTTCATTCTAGCATATTCAACGAAGGAACGGCTTGAATCTATTCAATTCTGTGAGTTAATTACTATTAAGATTTTTTATTTTATTCACATTTGTATTATGTATTCTCAAGTGAATCTTGATAATATTATTTTGTTGTACTGCATAAAGTATTATTATATTGTTTTCAGCTGGTTTTTCCAGACCAGCATGTTGGTGCTGCTTTGGATTTTTTTTGATAGTGCTACTATTTCAAATACTATTTAAAATGTTTTTTGTAACCATGATTGCATTATTTGAATGAAGTTCTTTAAAAAAAAACTGGTAACTCCTTGGGCAGACCTAAATATATATATTTCATTGATTTTACTGCAAGTGGCCTTGCTAATTTCATAGAGGTATCATTTTGCAGGTCTAAAAGATAATAATAAATCTACTCACCACTGGTGCGTCGTCTTCTCGCAATAATAAAAACCGAACCAAATGGAAATTCCCGATTCGAATCGCAAATATCTACGAAATATATTTGAGTCTAACCTCTTTCGGCTTCGGTAACAATGTCGTCAGTATCAAGACTCCGACCGCAAGAAACAAGAGAATACCGACGCGGTTACCTAGACTCGCAACTAATATCGTCTCGCAAGTGACATTATCAGATTGGACTTGGACCTTCAATCAAGCAACCCCTATCATTCAACTTTAGGAACATGATTACGCTCTTCAAAAGTCGGTAGAAGAGGAAATTTCTAATTTAAACCATTATTTTAGTGGAACGAGGTCCAAAGGTTGGCAAGTTGTTGAGCGATTTGAATGATGACATTATTAGCCTTGTATTACTGTTACTTAAAAATTAATGTGAGCCAAAGAGGTAAAAGTAATTTCCTGCGAGAAATGTTGGATGAACCAGTGAGAAATTTTAGGATTCGATGATTTAAAAACAAATGATACAATGTAGCATTGTGGATAAATGTCGCTTGAGTGGTAACTTCTTGAAATTTGGGATTCCAGCGGAATGGTCTCGGGTAGTTTTTTTTTACCTGTGCACCGATTGCACCTTGAAATTCAAATATGTGAACTAGCCAAAGCACTCTTGAAAAATATACCTGCGGTTTGAACGACCCAGATATTCGAACGGTTTACCAACGTTACAGAAATTTTGGAATTTTAGTACTTAAATCAACAATATATTTTCAATATTCATCCATTTGAATTTTTTAGATCCGAATGAATTAATTATTCAGAAAAAAGTTTTATTTTATAATTAATTTCAACTCATAATCTAGTCATTTTAGGTTTTTTAAACCTCAATCTGCGGAAAAATTCCTACTGAGCTGAATTTCTGTATACACCTTCATTATGGGGCGTTTTAATGAAGATGTGAAAAATCGACATTGATATCGTGCCGGCTAAAAAAGTTATAAGGGTCAAAAGGGTACGAAAAGCAGTTTTTCGCGAATATCTCGCGACCTATGGCTCGGAGGTCTACAAAAATCGAGGGGGAGTTACCTTCTTTAAGTCTTATACAATAAAATATTTTCAGTCATTTAAATCTGTTTTGATTCCTTAAATTTTGGTTTCCAATATTTAAATCTTGTGATCTGTACTAGTTTGTACAGGTTCCGTGTTGAATGTTCGTCATATTCTTCTGGACGTAATTTCGTACGTCCATATATTGCCTGCCTCCTGTGATTAAGTGCCTCACATTCCCATTAGATATGTAGAGCTGTTTCTATCCCTTCGTTGCATAATCTGCAGCTGAGGTCTCCGTTGTACAGCCCCAATCGACTTGTGTTTATTTTGGATGTGTCAAATTGGAATTTAGTATCAAATGAAAACTAGAACTATAGTACAGAAAAGGGTGAATATATACGGAATATATAAATTGTTAGTGGAATCATTTTTTTAGTACTTTCAGATTCGAACTAGAACTTTCTTGGTGCTACACTGACCAAGATGCATATATATCCTGGTTTTACACCAATACGCTTTTTTGGCAAAAGCTCTCGACGAGACTAAAGAGATTAACCCAAGTTTGTGCACATGTTGATAGACTGTACGAGAATCGAATTTTGCATGGTTGGTTGTTTCTAGTTCGAAAAGATGGAAAGCGCTTCGCTGAATGAAGAATTCAAGCGCTTTTCAAAGCACTGGAAGCTAGTGGAGGCAAGCAATTTGTTTCTTGTTTTGACATTTCCAATAAGTAACAAATTCAGTTTCAAACTGACTATATTCACGTAAAAATGGTTGCATAGGTATATTCAGGTTTTTCATGATTTTCATGATTATTCAATACCTATTATACATTATATATAGCAGTAAATCTTTATTCATAATATTTTACAGGCTTTGTCAATTAAAATCTACTTTTTTGGACAATAAAGCGAATTTTCTCGCTATAATCAAGTATTTCTAACACACGTCGAGAGACAATAGCTCTGTTCTGATGTTGAAAAACTGTTTTCAATAGATTTCTTTCAATATGCCTACATGGCAACAAAAGAGGTAGCGTTTCTGAAGAAAATGAAGTAACATCAGAAATAAAGAAGTACCTACAGAAAACCATGAGGCAAATTATATACATGAACAAATTAATTTACTACATTATAGAACTAATGTGTGTAATGTGTGTAAAGGAGAATGAAGATATTTGAAAAGCTTACTATCTAGCACACCAGGTGTGGATAATAATGAAGAAAAGATTGAATGATGCCAAATTGAAAGAATCGGTATTAGGAAAACGGAAAAAACAAAGAAAATAATAGGAAAGTACATGTATATTATAGACAGGCACTGGGAAAAGAATAATACATCTGAAACCCCTTAAAGCAAAGACATATATACTAGAAATAGATGAGACAAAAAACATGACAGTAAGAATGAAATCCATTGAATATAGAAAATAGGAGTTCTTCAACTCATTTGGTGGAAATGATAAGAGGTGAAAGTAAAAATGTAAAACTGCAATGCAGGATGCTGAAACATGAAATGTATAAAGCTTTTGAAAACATCAATTCATAAAAACATTCAAGAAAGTCATTTTTCACATCTTTGCCACATATTTTCTTTATGAGTTTGGTTCTCTACCATTTCAATTTTTAATATAATCAGCTGGTAGCTGAGATAAAACTTATCAAGTACTTTTGTGCAGTTTATTGAGTGTTTATCGTTTTCAAAAGTTGGATTTGGAGTTTTCAAATTTGTTTGTGTAAAACTGTTGAGATTTTTCATCTTGACAAATATTGATTTCATTTTTCAATCGCAAGCAACATTTCACATTCAAGTATTTATATTTATTTATTCATTGAATGACTATGGTCTATAACTCAGAAATTGAACCACCTTTCAAGAAAGCTTCATGTGGTTAATGTTTTATAGAAGGAAACCACAAAATTCAAAATCAAAAATGTAAGTATGTACCTAAATAAAATTCTGAAAATATGCTGAATGCTGAATGTGTCTCAAACATATTGTTCACTCATAATAACATTTCTGCCTCAGTGGTGCCTCAGTTGAAATTTTGATAATTTTTCAAAAATAATTTTCTAAAACAATCAATTTTGTATCATTATTGTGAATCCAACCAGGTTCAATTAAATTACCTACTGGTTTTTTGAAGGGATATATTGAAAAGTATTGATATGATAAGTAAGTAATAACATATTTCTCTTTAACAACAACTATTGATTCAAGCACATTGTTAAAATAAGATGTAAATGGCGGTAGAAACAATACACGTTTTGCGGCATTTTTAGGCGTGAAATGTGAACTTGACATTACCAGACGAACCTAACCTATCATAATATTCAATGTCACAATTCGTCCAAATTAATTTACAAACAGCATGAATCATTCACAAGTCTTGAAGCTGTCTGTTATCTTTTAGGAACTCCCTATTATTTTGACTATAAGAAATATTGATAAGTAAGAAATGGTTACTCACCAAAATATATAAATATCAGACAGTCAAATTCCAACTTATAGTTGATCACTTAAGAATTATCAGAAGCTCATTAACACATACACTAATGTTATCAGTAATGTTTTCTCATAAAAAAGTTAATCATAAAAAACACCCATATCACACTCGGAAAGTTAAAGGATCAAGGATATACCGTATTTTTGGACTTGGACAGTTAGTTCATCTTTCATCTCTCACAACTATGTTCACCAATGAGATCTACACAGGTCTCACGTGATTCGGTGGGAGAGTGGCGTGATATTTTACGTCACCAGGGGCATACAGAACCGGATCAATATTTTCCCTCCATTTCCTGGATTTAAAGTCCCTGTCAAAAAAAAGGAAACATTTGAAACAAAAAGAGGACTTTTCCAGTGCGATTCAAACTTCAGGAAACTCAAGTTACGGAATTTGGCCTATCAATCTTTATCTACATAAATAACACTCATGATTTTTATTCATAACCAATTATTTACTTTGCTGTTTCGTAAAAATCATATCAAATGATATTGTCATCATTTGAATTCCAATCTATTGTATTATAAATCTCTATCGCTCCTCCTAGAAAAAGTATTAATAAAAAGTTAAAATGGGTTATTTTATGACATGCTCTATTCTTGTAGACTGATAAATGTTTGTGTACGAAAAACCCGTTGGTATTTTGACTACATAAAAAAGGATATACAGAACAACTCTATGTTTTTATTTCCTCTTAGAGAAGATCGCTTAGTCAGATATTTTCTGACAAAACTCGATCATTGTATATTTTTGTTTACTGACAGAGGGCGGCTTCTGCATAAATAACTACTTCCCATACTATGAAGTAAATGATTATTGAGCCCGATAACCGTGTGCCATAAGAAAAAAGCAATGAGCTAATAATATAGAAAGTTTCTAGGTTTGAGCGGCCAAGACCTTTACAGTAGTGATACAAACCGTTATGATCTTGAGGTTTGAGAAATGAGAGGTCATTATACCACTTAAAACAACAATTTCAATAGAGTGACCAGGCTAGAGTCTGCAGTGTTCTAGGAGACATTTTTTCCTCCCCTTCTCGGACGATTTAGTCTCAATGTCAGGGACTTATTCTACATCATGCAGCGCGACTAAGGGGTTGAAGAAAGTATTTTGGCAGGCCGTGATAAACCCCTCTGTTTCCGACTTCATCCCACTCGATCTGTTTAAAGCAAAAGTCAGGTGCTTTGATAAGCTGAAGTCGTTTTAATAGCGATGAAATTTGACACATTTTAATGTTAGAATAGAAATAAAGTTTGAATGCTGGAACTTTATAGCAGTTTTCTACTCGAATTATGATGTTATATAGTAATTAAGAGAAATAAATGTTGAATCTTGGATAAACGTAGCACAATATATATGTTTGATTTTGAGTTAGTAAAAATTTGGCGAATACAGAATGCCACAAGTGGCAAAAACATAGAAGAGAGAAATGATAGAAAGGAATTTAAAAGCTTGCAACATTTCTCGTAAACAATCGTTAACTATTGTCTGCTGTACATTATTTTTTTCAGTAAAAAAATTGTAGGTACCCACTCTCGTATTTATTGGGAACGTAGTCAGATATCAGGAAGAATTTTCAAAGGAAACTATGTCGCCAAACTTTGATAACATAACTTAATTGAGGTTAGGGTTGAACAATTTCTTTATAAAATACATTTTCAAATTTCATGATACTAACTGAATTTCGATGTATCAATAAATAAATACTAGGTATATATTACTATGAAATAAACAAGATATAAAATGTATATTTAACAAATATTGTAAATAATAACATATAAATAGAATAAAACATTATTGCAATAAATCCCTAGAAAATTTAGAAAATTGTAAAACTATCTTGATAATGGGGAGTTTCAACAGATGGATTGGTAATATAGGATATAGGTCTAACTCGATGCAGCACCATTTTGTTGTAGAGATATTTTCATTCTAAAAGTTACGGAAAGTTTTATTCAAATTCAGATTATAAGTGTCGAAAACGCCAAGCCAAAATAGAATAGTTTTATTGAAATTTCTCTCGAGGACGTCACTGCAAATTGCACCGAATTTCTTGAAGTCAGTTGTTAGGTTTGCAAATTTTTTATTTAAACTCATCAGTTTGAACATTCCTTAACGGATATGATCGTATTAAGAACGAAAAATCGTAAATAGATATTTTTTCAAAAACTACACCTCACGATTCAATCAGAAAAAAAAGTAAATAGATATTTTAGCCCATCAAAATATTATCAGTGCTTCCAGTAGCAGATAATTAGGTTTTTTTTAATTCAAATTGATAATTCATTAAAATTTTTGAACAGATAGTTTCCAAAAATGCAATTTCTTCAGAAGCTTTCTCTTTAAGTTTTTACCAAACATTAAGTTAATCGTTCAACATTCAGTAATAAAAGAAGAATGACACATTTTACTGATTGAAATTTGAAATTGACTGCCTTTTTTTCACGAGCAGTGCTCTCGCAACAAAATCTCGTAGTGAGCGTCTTTACGACGGAAGCAGTAAGAATTTCACTACCCATGAAAAGACACCATTCCAATGTTCAGAGCAGTGAGAGACATCTGATTACTCAAATATTACGAAAATAAGGTCCTAGGAGTAAAGTGTTCTCTGCTGCTTGAAAAAAGGGTATTTTGTTGATGAGGTTCCGACGTGCGCTAAGTTCAAATGCAAGGCGCTTGCAGCCTACAGACGCTATTAATTTCATTATGAAAATAAAATGTATACTGGTAACGGGCACAGTGAGACCAGTGACGTCATAATATGGACTGGCCGTTGAAGAGGGAACATCAACTCCATCAACTAAAAAAAAAGATTCATGTCTTGGCATTTACGTCACTCATACACTAACGTCAGATACAACGTCGGTCTTTGGCTTTCTACTGTGACGTCACGATGTTTTACGTGTTGCATATTTTCATTATGAAAACTTCCAGATTTGATTTTGTCAGATGCTGCTGTGTCGCAGTGGCCCAGATGTGTGATCCACAGGGGAAATATGTAAAAGTGTCGTCACGGCCATCCATATTATCATGTCTATGGTTAAAGTTGAGACCTTGCAAATGAAGGCGCATGTCTGTTTCCTGTGCAGAGAAATTTAAATCCATGACAACTTTTGAAATTGCCAGTTTTGTCAATATTTTGATGTTTATACTACTTTATACATTTTTTAATTTTGTAATTACTTATTTTCCTTGATTATTGAAGATCGACGACATAACTGAGGCCAGTAAGAATGGCTGGCATACCAAAACTACCAGGTTTCACCTTTAGTGATCCCACTGTAAGTTCAGTCCCTAATAATACTAGAAATCAGTAATTCCTCCTTTCAGCTCACAAAGTTCCATCTATCCCAAACATTCAACTTATGCAATGGTTACAAGTTGCCCAAGAATAATTTCCGGGGCATTGGGGGCAGGGAAATCGATTCCAATTCAGTGAAACATCTTTCAAAACAGGATGTTACCAGATTTGACCCATCACTCACCTATGGTCGAACAAAATCACAGGCTCTACCCCAATTCACTCCACACTATGTGCTGTACGACCAGAAATGTCTGACTTTCAAAGCGTTTTTCAAACAGGCTGTTGTGGAGTCTGCCAACGAGTTCTATAGAGTCAGGCACGTCAATATAATATATTTCTTAGAAGATGATACTATTACGGTTATGGAACCAAAAACACCTGTAAGTTACCTTTGGGTCATTCCGTGTCAAGTCGATCAGCACACCTAGTGAACCTTGCACTATCTCAGAGTTTGATGAAACATCACATATATACCTTTCATTTTAACTATTTAAAATGAAAGTTTTTTTATATCAACTAATAAGTTTCTCAAAACACCTTGAATTGCTCTCTGGACAGTTACTCAAATTGCAATTGCTCGTCTCCTAACTGAACTATGGTCTTGGGAGAAGTGTCATTTATTTTTATTGTTAATGCTCTTTCAAATAATATACCACATGGGGTTTTCAAAAAGTTTTTTTTCAATAAGAAAAAAATATTGTTCCTGAAAAGTCACATTTTTAAAAAATCCATAGACAGTGTGTAAAGTTTTGAACAGAAAAGACCCAAAATTGAAGACTTGAAAAAGTGTGTTAAGGAAGATATGGAAAAAAATTCAACTGGTGTGAGTAGAATGGTCTTTCGTTTATTCCCTAAAGAATTAATATACTGATATTCCAAGTGTTCTCTACAATTGATTCGGAAATAATAGAAAATAAAACCTGTGCAAAATATTCAGAAATCTATATTGACAATAAACTCAAGTTTGATGAACATTTGACAAAAATTTAAAAAAATGTATTCTGATTGCTATGCAGTTAAGATGAGGTAGATAGAATTAGGTTATTTGCAGTTAAAATGGTGTATGTATTTGAACTCTCTTGAGGTATGGAATTTTATTTTGTGGTAGTTACAGCAACTATATATTCAACAACATATTCAAATTGCCAAAAAGAGTTAGAAGATATATGTGTGTAAAGCTAAATATACAGCTATATAAAGCTTATGTACAATTATTTGTGGGCGTATCGTTTTTTTACTTCATTTGACATCAGTGAAGCTTTGTAATTATGATTTATTTCATGCACAATAAATTATACTATCATCATCACCATGGTCTCAGTTAAAACTAATTGAATCTTACTGTAACTTTTGAATTCACAAGCAGAACATATTCTAGTTTTACGTTCATTTGTAATTTCTATAACTAATTCGTTTGTAAGAACATCCATATGAAATTATACATTCTGCTAAATACAGGAATAAAAATCCTGAAACTTCAATTTGGAATCTAAATGAGAGAATTTTGAGATGCACTTAATGGAACTACTTGGTCAGCTTCCTCAAGCGTATTCATACTTAGTATGAATATGCCTGAAGAAGCTATTATATAGCGAAACACGTGTCATAGTTTTGTAAACTATTTATACATGACATGGAATGATCCTTTTTCTTGGAAATGTCTTGGGAGGCCGATACTTGATGAAAATCCATAACGTAATCAAGATAAACTTTATTTTGAGATTTTCACCAACAGTTTCACAAAAACGCAACACATGTTTCGGTTATACAGTAGCTTCTTCAGGCGTCTCTATATAATAGCTTCTTCGGGCGTTTCTATACAACAGCTTCTTCGGGCGTCTCTATACAATATCTTCTTCGGGCGTCTCTATACAATAGCTTCTTAGGGCGTCTCTATACAATAGCTTCTTTGGGCATCTCTATATAAATGCTTCATTAGGCGTTTCTATACAATAGCTTCTTCGGGCGTCTCTATACAAGTGCGTCTTCGGACATCTCTATACAATAGCTTCTTTGGGCGTGTCTATACTAAAGAAAAAGGTATTGAATAGTCAAACATGTGTTGCGTTTTTGTAAAACTGTTTGGTGAAAATCTCACAATAATGTGTTTCTTGAATTCACTATTATACAATAAACCTATTTCTAATGATGTTTTAGAATAGTGGAATAGATCAAGGAAGACTGATACGTAGAAGCAAAATTCCCAAAAACGACATGGGTGCTTACTGGCACTGGAAAGATCTGAATGTTGGTAAAGATATATTGTTTAATGGTGTCGTATTCCACACAGTGGACTGCGATTTATTCACGAGGGTGAGTTGAAAATGGTTCATTGTATATGTTATTATTTGATATGAGTAATAAATGTTTTCCTACATGTATTCATCAAACGAATATGTATCGCAACAAGATACTTTGGAAAATATTAGATATATGTCTTATAAGAGAAAAACCTTATTTATATACTGTGTCTAAGATTTTCCAAACATGTAAATGCAAATAAGTGTATCTTGTCAGAAATTTGTGATGTGACTAAAAATCGATATTTTTCAAAGAGGTCTCCATAACAAAATGAGAAAAATCGAAAACTTAAATAGCTTCAAGTCGTACCAATCTGTAAGCTTCTTCTTGGAGAAGTTATTAGAACTTTAGACTTGAGTGCCAGTGGTCCTGGGTCCAATCTAGGGCTCAAATTTTTAGTTTTTTTTCACCTAATTTACAAACTGTTCGAAATCTACAATAAAACTAAATAGGAAATATTTTTTAATGCTTTTTAGGTCCCTTTTTGTTATGAAATTGANATTTTTTAATGCTTTTTAGGTCCCTTTTTGTTATGAAATTGAATAATATTTCTATCATTCTTATTTTGAAATATTCCTGTCATAATATAGAAATGGTCATTATTTGCTAAAATAATTTACTTTAAACTACATTCTAATGAATACTAGTCACATTTCTCGCTTGTTAAATAATATAGATACTATTATTTCAGGAGTATATGGCAAGTCAGGGTTTGGTGATGGCTGATCCGGAAGAAATGCCAGTGGATCCATACACTTTTAATAGGCAACAATTGCAAGCGAGAGGCAGTGTTACCAAAACAGGACGATGTGATGATAAACTACGGAGGTTTTTGGAATACGATGGCAAAGTCCTCAAGTATGCTACAATTATAATATTCCTACTAAGTAAAAACCTGCTACAGTGTTTCGTTTCCAGAAATGTTCTTTTATTTTCACATTCTGACTCTGACTCTATGTATGTTTAAAATAAAAATGCAGATGAATAATGATATGCATAAATACAATATTTTCAGTTAGACTAGTCTTTCCATTCAATAAAGTTCCTTCATTTCGTTCCTTGTTTTGTCTAAAAGAGTGTTTGTTCTGCTTCTGACTGTTGAGATTGATGCCGATTGTCTAGAATGTATTGATCATTGTATTTCGCCTTCTCTTGCCAAAAACTGTTTTTATAAATTTGCTCTCTGAGATGGGGTTCTACACCGATCATGAAGGATTGGTTGTCCCGCCTTGAACAACTGGTTAGTAGTCTTTACAGTAGTGTTTGTGGAGTTGATGCAAGAGCTTATGTATGTTTCTATGTTTTCTTCATTAATTGTGTCTAAAATTCAATTTAGGAATAGCCAAAGATGGAAATTCATTTGATCCATATCCAAATTGAATGCGTTACCGAAGCTGTTTCAAAAAAATCTATTTTTCCATTAACCAAAGTCGCCCCCCTACGAACGACAACTCTCAAAAGTCGAAACTTGTGCGAACTGAGGACTAACGAGGTCTTACCTTTCAACGTGTGATTCCTAACACGGGTTGGACAAAGAAATGAAAATCAATCGTCCGGCCTTGCGTGGATTCACACAGCGGTTCACACAGCGGTCGATTGAGTGAGTGAAGCAAACCACCCACGTTAACACACCAGGCTGCCGTCCCACCCAATAATAGATTACTCAACCGAAATATTTTCCTACATCACTGCTCAAGAGCAATATACAATCAAACTAAATTTGGTCATGAGTAATGCGCAAGCGCATCTCATTACAGTATTGGAAAGAACGCAATAAACCAGTCTATGCCAAGTGTCGTTTCAATATAGTTGTCCCCACTATAACAGTGCATTGGAGAACAGGGGAGGCTAAAGTCATAAAGACAATATACACACAGAAAAGCCCGCCGGAGGCGCAAAATTTTTTATGTTTTTGCACGCTTTGCTTAATACTAAAGTTAGGGCATGGGCATGACAATGCGTAAAAAGTGCATGCGAGGAGCTATGGACTTAGTTTTAGTTTGTAAACCATTTATATGGCCGGCCATGACCGCAGCCCCATCATAGGTTTGCGCAATTAACTTTTGCCTAAAATTATAGGTGTCACACGTACGAATTAAAAAATTAAACAAATCGTATTTACAATAATATTAATAGGACGATAGATATAAACAAACTTAGAGAACAATGTTATGTATTTGGTGTAGATCAAAACATTTCTGCATAATATTCATGAAAATTGGTCTTTATTTCTTCTAAATGAGCTGTTATGAAATTTACCAACTTCCTAATGTCCACAATTTCCTCCAGCCCTCTATACTACATTTTTGAAAGGTCCTTAAATATAGAGCCTTTTCTAATATTTCCAAACTCAGATATAGAATAAGAACCAAATATGTTACAAAACGTGGTAATACACAGATGTACTTACTTTATTAGACTAGTCATACATACAGATCCAAATGAGTAATAATAAAAATAATAATAATAACTTCATTCACAACGTATACAGATTAGAGTACAATTAAAATAAAATATGTGAACAAAGTGGTTTGGCGATAAGAGCAGAGCTCTTGTTTCGCAAGAAGTTATAAAGAATATGTAAGTACATGAATATTTGTATAAAAATAAGTATGGCCTTCATGGAGTAGAAACTACAAAACGTTTTATTAAATTTTGGTATTAATAGGTATTAAACACAAAATTTATATTTAACAACACTTTTGAAATATTTATATATTGAAATGTATTGAAATTCTTGACCTTTATGTTAATGTTTCAGATTGTTTCAGTTCTTAAGCCTGCTTTGTCAACAAAACCTAAACTTTTATGACAGTATCGCAGCATTTCTGACTCTGACTCTATGTATGTTTAAAATAAAAATGCAGATGAATAATGATATGCATAAATACAATATTTTCAGTTAGACTAGTCTTTCCATTTAATAAAATTCCTTCATTTCGTTCCTTGTTTTGTCTAAAAGAGTGTTTGTTCTGCTTCTGACTGTTGAAATTGATGCCGATTGTCTAGAATGTGTTGACCATTGTATTTCGCCTTCTCTTGCCAAAAACTGTTTTTATAAATTTGCTCTCTGAGATGAGGTTCTACACCGATCATGAAAGATTGGTTGTCCCGCCTTGAACTTCTGGTTAGTAGTTTTTTACACTAGTGTTTGTGGAGTTGATGCAAGAGTTTATGTATGTTTCTATGTTTTCTTCATCAATTGTGTCTGAAATTCAAGTTAGGAATAGCCAAAGATGGGAATTCATCTGATCCATATCCAAGTTGAATGCGTTACCGAAGCTGTTGCAAAAAAAACTATTTTTCCATTAACCAAAGTCGCTCCCCTACGAGTGACAACTCTCAAAAGTCGAAACTTGTGCGAACTGAGGACTAACGAGGTCTTACCTTTCAACGTGTGATTTCTAACACGGGTTGGACAAAGAAATGAAAATCGATCGTCCGGCCTTGCGTGGACCACCGGCACCAGGCTGCCGTCCCACCCAATAATGGATTACTCAACCGAAATATTTTCCTACATCACTACTCAAGAGCAATATACAACCAAACTAAATTTGGTGAACTATGCAGACCAGTGAGTGACGGCTCGTGCATTGGAGAACAGGGGAGGCTAAAGTCATAAAGACTATATACACACAGAAAAGCACACCGGAGGCGCGAAAATTTTTATGTTGTTGCACGCTTTGCTTAATACTAAAGTTAGGGCACGGGCATGACAATGCATAAAAAGTGCATGAGGAGCTATGGACTTAGTTTTAGTTTGTAAACAATTTAAATGGCCGGCCATGACCGCAGCCCCATCATAGGTTTGCGAAATTAACTTTTGCCTAAAATTATAGGTGTCACACGTACGAATTAAAAAATTAAACAAATCGTTAGCTGTGCGCCCAGATGGAACATCATGAAAACCCATAAAACGTTCTACCACATTACCATCTTTGACATATCTAAAAATGATTGAAAGTTGTGATGAACAGGTAATATAGGTAGTTTCATCAATTTCCCATGCAAAAAAAGAAACACTTTCAATCTCCTTGCTTATATTTTTCTTAATAATATATGCCACACTGTCTATAAGCTCAAATTGGATGGTTTTTGAGGTGCCCGAAAAAACGCTACCGTTTAAAAAAGTGCCAAATTGTGAATCATATTTGCCCCATAACATTAAAAGTTCCTTTTAATTGCCGCGATTAATCGAATCTTGGGTTTCATCGTGTCCGCGAAAAGCTAATTCTTGGGAACCCAAGTAAATCGTAATATCTATAAGTCTTTTTAAATTCGACCGATTTTCCCTAACCTGATTATTAAAAGAAATTATGGCCTCTTTTTGAGCTTTTGAAAATTAATGGTGAAGTAATGATACCCAAGCATTTTTAGAAAAAAATAATCATAATTATTTGTCAATATCTTTTAATTTATTGCGATGAATAGCCTCAAATTTTATGGGGAGGCTGACGAGCAGCCGTTGATGTAGACTACTTGTCTGATGCCTTGGCGGTTCTATCTACACAGACTTTCCCGGTAAAAAGACAGTCAAAACGTTATGTCCAGAGAAGTAGTAATAACGTCGGGTGTTCCCGAAGGTTTCCATCTTGTTCCTCTACTTCTCAACATATCCATAAACGACGTAAGGTCTTGTATTCCTTCTGGTAAAATTCTCCTGTGGAAATATTTTTCCGTTATACCTTGTCACCTTTCGTGACATATATTTATATATTTTTTTTGAGAGCTGGTGATGCTAAATCAAACTGTTTCTTCTTTTGATTATTTCAGAGGTATACAGATACACCAGCGACGTACCCCGCCATATATTTGGAAGTATCCGACGCAGAAATAACGGAATTCTACCAGCCGAAAGACTTCCAGATAGGAGAAACAATATTCGTTCTAGGTCGCGACATATTACTCTACGACTGCGACAAATTCACCAGAGACTACTTCAGAAAAGCCCTCTGCATAGAACAGAAACCCGCCATAGACATTTCCGTACCAACATCTCCTCCTACGCCGGCCCAAGTACCGCCCCACAACGGTCTAGGTTCCCTCGAGGATTCCCTTCAGAATACACTCACGTTCCTGCCGAAACCGCCGAAAAAGGACGTGATGCGTCAGCTGCTGAACGCCAACAAATATCTCAGATACGAAATGGTTATGGACGCGGTCCATCCTGAAGACACCATCAGGAGGTTCCTGTTGAGTTATTCGTTGGCGGACAGTACTTGTTCCATCCAGGAACCGCCGATCAAAAATTCCGGAATAATCGGCGGGAAGTACTTGAGAAGTACACTGCTGGTGAAACCAGGTGAGACGGAAGAAATAATTATTTCTAGTTGATCCTTCGTTGAAAGAAATATGACATGTGGGGACAATTTAATTCGCACATAAAAAAGATACTGAGAATGATATAACTCTATCATGGAATTTCTTTTCGAGTTTGAAAGCCGTGGATTTTTGGAATTTCTTCCTGACGTTTCGCTGGCGCAAGTGGCTAGCTTCTTCAGAGGTTTAACCATCATGGCTTGCTGTCCGATGACTACCTTTTAGGCTTCGTAAAGCGTATTTATGCCTTGTCAGGTAATCAGTTGTATTGGTACCTGTATTTATACCTGTGCTTGTACCTGCACTTGTACCTGTACTTGAACCTGGAACATTAACAATTTTACTGCCTGTTGTCATTCTGTTCGTTATTCTCGAATTCCTTAAAATAGGGTTCCATATTTGATTGAGGTGCACCGCTTTTTCTTTTCTGTTAAAATTCTCCGTGTGTTTGTGGATCTCTATTGCCTCCCGTACCAGTCGGCT